GAAAATATAAATAATCAAACCAACATCAAGTCATTGTTTCTTTCCATTTTCAGAGTTTTTGCTAAAAGTGAAAAAGAAAAAAAAAAAAAACAAAAAATTCCAACAAGAAGAGCCTTTTTTCAAAGAATTGTGTTATAACAAAAAAAATTAGGAGACTGATGGGTAATACAACACAATAAAGGTCATATACTACTCAGAAAAAAAAGGGAATATTCCAGCTTAGCAATTCCCCTGACACTAGGGGAGAACAATAAACTTGTGAAAGACATTGCTATTTTAGTTCTCTTTGCATGAAATCGTGGCTCCAGCAGGAATTCCTCTGTATATGGGCAGTTGGTCTCCTCTCTGCTCCCCTCACTTTCCACTTCCCCATCTTTATTTATCTTGTGTAGTTTAGTGCAGCAGCTCTGTAGGGCCTGAAACCCAATCCTCTTGATATATCCAAGTACTTCATAAATTAACATTTTGTACAACCAGGAGTGCCTTTGAGGACACTGCTTTGTTGAATGAAAAGGGGTTTTGGAAGCTTGGTTTTATTTTTATAGTGCAGTCATATAGAAGGAAGTGATGCAGCTCAGCAAGGGAGGTGAATGTGTGCTCCCAGGAAATCCTGGGATTTCTTTAAACTCTTTCACAGCTTCTGGGCTATTTGCCTAAAGGGTTGCCTATAAGACAGGTTGCCCCACCATGGGTTATTGGTATCTCTGTTCAAAGAAATATATAAAATGAATTCTGTTTGTCTTGCTCTCTTGCAGATAACTAGCATCTCTAGTGCTTTCCTAATTTCTATAGGATATAGGTAGTTTGGCCTACCTAGTGAATTTTTATTCCAGAGCCTTAAAATCAAAGTTTAGTTTCTTCAAACCAGTTCTACAGGATAATTTTTACAAACTAAGTTCTGTTACATCAAAAAAAAGTAAATCCTCCTTTGGCTTTCATCCCAGCAATGCTGTGATACTTACAGCTGGAAAGTCATCCTGCTTTCTCTGCATTTCTGTTTATCTACTGGAATGCTTTCCATGCCATCTGTAACCATCAGATTCTTTGTGTGTTTTTTGGCTGTTCTTTCTTGCCTACAACCACAAGCTCTTCGTGGCTAAGATTGGGTTTTCTCTGGGCTTTGTTTTTTTTCTTTGATACAGCTCAGAGTGCATGGGTAAAGCTTTGCAAATAAGGATCAATGTTTCTAAAAATCAAATGTTAAAATGATAAATGAAAAGGTCAAGTGCTGAGATTCAGATAAAGTTCAGCTTAAACTTGAAGTATATGCCTAGCTGAAGTTTACTTAAAATACCTAAAAACTGAAATTGAAAAGCTTGAAAAAACTCAAACACTTACAATTGAAGTTTGTTTAGTGCATAAGGGAGAGGGAAACTGGTAGGTAGGCTTTCCTGCCTGCACCATGTGGATTAAATACTCCTCATCCTTCTGGTTGTTGCAGTTCTGCTCAGTTGCTGGAGGAAGAGTGGTTGGTTTTGTTTCTGTCATCCTGTAGATTTTCTTTCTCATAAAAAAGTAAATATAAATTTGCTAATGGGCAGCTCTTGAAAGTGGCACTGTGTTTTCTTTCTTATATGTGCTCCATATGGAGCCAGGCAGCCAGGAGTGGATGCTGGGGAGCTCACAGAAGCTGAGCAGTGAAACCAGCATTTGATTGAACCCACTGCCAAAAAGAGCAATCCTGACCAGGGTGTGATGGGAAAATGGAAAAGGCATTTTGGCATTCATGCTGTTCAAAGTCCCTCACCCCTACAGACTCTGTGTGGGATGGGTTGGCCCGGAGGAGCACTGACCTCCCTGTCAGATTTGTCCTCATGATGCACACTTTGCCTGCAATGCCTAGAAGAAATAAGCCACCTAATTATGGCCAAATTAGTGGTAGCTGGGGGCAGTGGATGAGAGGAGGGTTTATTGCTTTGGCATGAGGAGTTTGTGTCCCTTCCTGCTGCCTGTGCTTATTTGTAAACTCTTCAGGGCAGAAACTTTGTTTGCATTGACATTTTTACAGCATGTAACCAGTGGGGCCCTAATTCTGGATGAGGTTTTGGGAACCACAGTAAAGCAAATAAATGATTTTTTTTTTTCCTTTCTTTCCCTGACATATATTACCATACCCGGAGAAATGTAGAGCAGTCATTTGTCCTCATCCATGAAATTTTATGTGAAATAACACAGAAGTCCTCTAAAAGAGACTTTAATAAAACTCACTGTATTAATTCTTCAATGCTTAACAGAGCAGAAAGGTGTCTGTCCCATTTTGAGAAGGCTCTAGTAGCTTTCTATTTTACTGACATCTGCAAATTTTTATAATGTCTGAAACCACCGCTGCTTTGTAGAACTTGAACCTGGATTTTCATTTCATGTCCTACTTTCCAATTTGCAAATACAAGGGATTTCACTGTGTTATCCTAAGGTAGAAAACCTAATATAATTCTAGAAACCTTGCAATGTAATTGTCTGGATGTATATGGAGCTTGTGATAAACCTCCCACTGAAATTCAAAAGGTTTAGCTATTTGTGAGAAATACCATAAATGTTTTAAATACAGGCAGCTGCTACTAGAACAGAATGTGTGGGTTGCCATGAGGGTGTTGGGTAAGGAAGGTGGGATTTGTGTTTACTTGTTCTTGTTAGTTTGGCATTTAAGACAGTTCATGTGCAGACTGGATCCTGGTCTCAGAGTAGGGCCAGTTATTCTCAGTGCATTCTTCTGTATCTGGTACAGCAAGTTCTTCCTGCCCAAAAAGATAGAAATGTCTTTTTTGGGCTCAGAGCAGGCACTTGCTTGAAGGATGTGCCCCTCTAATAATAGGAGAAAACAAAGTTTAGCTGTTTAGCTTCCTTTCTCTCCTTATTTTTACACTTGAAGAAGTCCAACTTACTGACTGTGTTAGATTCCCTCTGTATCTTGGCTAGGTTATGACCAGCATGATCTGCTTTTTGTTTTTCCTCTTCTTACTGGATTAAAGGTTTTTTAAAGTTTTTCAGAAGCTGCTCCATGTTTGTCTATTGGTTGGAGAAATCCACTGTCTAGAAACCTAAATTTAGTTCTTTATTGACTCAGAGTAGTCATTCAAGCTTATCTGTCACTCAGTTTTTCCTCCTATGTTTTTGCCAAATAACTAACTAACAAGATAAAATGAAATATCTTCCAAACCTGCCTGGCTCCTTGCAAACTGAGTTTGTGTCTTTAGAAAAATTGGAATGACTTGTATATTATGAACCAAGGAACCACTTTAAGTGACTGATGCAAGGGTCATCCAGTTAAATAAGAGGGGGGAAAACTCTTCCTGCAGGAAGCATTCTCATGATTTTTTGACAAGACCCAGTGTTCAGCAGTGTCACCTTATTTCAGTGCTGCTGCTGTGCACTTTCTGGCCAAAAAAGAAATCCCAGCAAAAACTGATATGAGTTTGAATTCATAGGGAATTAGTCTGTACCAATGAGAAATTCTAAAAATCCATATATGAAGTGAGCTTGAAAGCTTGGGGTTTTTTTTTCAAGCATGATTTGATTTCTATATGATACAATGATATGTTCTTGTCTAGGGAATGTTTTATGCTCCTGTTTAGGACACCCAGGTTCAGAACTGGAGAGAGAGAGGCTCAGATAGGTCATGAGTGAGCTTGGCAGATTTTGTGCATTTTTGGTTTTGTTTCCTTTTATTCATTTTGAGCCCTCAGTAGGACTGGAACTGCCAGGGGCATGTTGTAGGGCACAAGTGAAGATTGTTTTCAGAGCTGTTCTTGGAGCTCACCTGCCCAAATGGCAGCTAGTGCTACTAATCCCCTCTTTTCTTGAGTAAGTTTTGTAAGAGCTGAAAATACAGTGAAAACTATCAGGCATAACCAGGGTGTTCTTGCTGTACGAAGGGGAATCTCAAGGTTGAAAGCAGGTATGAATTGGATTTGATTTAAAACTCTTGCAAAATACTTCTCCATCCACTGGCTGCCTCAGAGGACCTTTTGCAGAGGGGCTGTTTTGATGCACAAGCTTGGCAGGTCACTCTGGTATTTTAAAGCAACTGGCACAAAAACATTTTTTAAAATGAAGAGAGCGTGTGAGGGAGCAGGGCTAGCTGGAATCAGCTAAGAGAACTTAGGCTGTGGTTTAATTTCTGTCTCACTAAAGGCAAACTGTGGGATTTGGAAAGGAGCAAAGTATGAACAAGATCCTGCATTTTTGGTGTGAAAAGCAGAATGGTATTTCATCTATTTTAAAAAGAGCTTGAAGTATTTGCAGAGCATTACCAGTTCTGCAGACATGAGTAACAGCAGAAATTCCATTTTTAATTGTTTTGCATTCCTTCATCTTAGGATCCTGGATCTCTTAATACACACATTAAATGAAAACTTAGAGCTTTTGTTTAGAGTGAATATTTTCTGCTGGAGTGGAAGAACTAATGCAAGAGAAATTCTGGTTCAACTGATTCAAAGCTCAATATAAGGAACTTTAACCAGGTTATAGAGAAATTCCAGGGACAGACCGGAAAAAGGAAAGATTTTTGACTAAAATAGCTTTTGCAGGATGAGTAATGGTAGATTTTGATTGTGAAAAATGCAATCCGAATATGAGCATCATATATTCTTAACGTTTTTCCTTCAGAGCAGTTTTGATAGTTTGTTTTCTATGTAGTTTTGAAATGTTTTTTAACAAAAAAATCCAGTGAAAGGGGTAAAAAATGACACCAAATTACCTTGGACAAGATGGTAGTTGGGTTTCTTGAGCAGCAAAAAGAACTGCAAATACTCATTTATGATTTTTCATGGGGGAATGGGGAAATTGGTGGAAGGATTTAAATTAAGGATTAAATAATTGCCATAAAAATCAGATAGGAAGTGAGGATTGCTAGGAGGAAAGATGAACTGAGATGGACCTGAAAGGGAAGAGAAAAAGTGCTTATTGGAAAAAGGAATGTGTGAGTGCTAAAGCAACTTATAGAGAAGTACCTACTATTTTATGGAAAATGGATTAAACTTGTTTTTTCTTTTTTGTTTCAGTGTTCTGAGGTCATGAAACTAAATCCACAGCAAGCTCCATTGTATGTGAGTACCAATTAATGCACTTTACTATTCACACAAAACACTTCCCATCAGCTTTTTGGAGATGCTGCTTCTTTTCTTTGCTCCCTAAGGAGTTTTTTTGTATTAATTCAGTTGCAGATGCTCAGTGGTAACGCTCTCAGGTAAGTCACAGAGCTCCTCTGGGTTCCAGCAGACTGTTTTAAGTAGGTTTTGAGCCATGTAATGCTGCCCCTGTGCAGGTATCCCCCATTTTGTTTTTCCTCCCCAAAGCGTGCATGGCTGTGCTCGTGTCACTTGATGTGTTGAGAGGTGGTGAGAAGAAACTGCTGGTGTGGAAAACAGGGCATCCCAGTGTGCAGGGCTTGCCCACTGTGATAATATTTTTCTGTTTGGAGTTTCAAACGTGGCAGGGAGGACCAGGAGGCAGCGCAGGGCTGGGCTGCAGCAGGGGATGGTTTGCGTCAGCCTCTCCGCGCTCGTAACCTCCATGCATAAGGAACAAGCTTCCCCTGGCCCTGAATAGCAGCTTTGTTGGAGAACATGGGCACTGTCAAATTAGACCTGGATGTGTGGGGGTGTGTGAGCATGTGTTCAATCTGTGCCAAAGCTGCCAGCCAGCTCTGTAACTGTTTGCTTTCCACATTGCCATGCTGGGAGCGGGCTGAGCGGCTGCAGCTCGTGGTCCTGCCCACAGACCCCGCCAGCCAGGGCAGAGCTGGATGAGAAGATGGAAAATTTGAAGGGAAAATTGCTTGCAAACGTGGTTTTTTTAAGGGGAAGGAAGGAGAAACAATCAGGACTGGTGATAGGCCTTTATCTTGGAGGGTGTTGTGTGTTGTCAATAATGGATTGTATTGACCTTCAAGGCCATGGCAGCTTTAAATTTTGCCTACCTTTAATTACCAACCAGAAGTTTGCATTGGAATTTATTCTTTACCCACTGTCCTAAGCCTGTGCTTGAAGCAAGATTAAAATACTATGTAGGGTGACCTGATTTTGTAGTGTGGCTTTTCAGGAGTATACCATATCCTGAATTTTGAAACTAAATGTTGCCTGAATTTTGTTAAATCTTAAGTCTACTGAATGTACCTTGACTTTGAAGAAACTTCATTTAAGCTTAGGACGCATTAAGGGAGAATGGAAGTTATGTGCAAAGATACGATGAAATTGCTACAGTAGAAGCACATGAATGGTGTAATGCAGAACAAAATTATTCTCATATCATTTGAACAGTGTATGACTTTGCTAATCTGGAGGCTTTGTTTTCTCAGCCTTATCTACTGAATTAGTTTATTTTCCCACTGTTTTGTGTGGGGCTTTATTGGATATGTAATACTGAAGTGGTACACTTGGAAGTCCTCATCCCCATGTGACAGAGAACTGGGCTGAGGTCAAATGTAGCCTGGTGTAAAATAATGATTGTCTAGCACTTGGTATAGTGTTTCTTTGCAATGCAAATAAGTTACATTATTAATACATCAGTGACTCCCTTTTCTCTCCTCTTCCCCTGGCCAGGTGTATACACAAATCAGCTCCCTTTCAAAAAACCAAAAGTGTTGTTAGCTTAAGGAAATCTGAAAGGTCAAAATTTAGTCTTTCTGTTTGCTCTCAGTATAAATGCTTTGTACATTTTAAGATCAGTTTTGTTTTCCATGTGTTGCTAATTGACAGCTCATCTGAGAGTTGTTAGGTGCCAGCAGAACACAAAGAAAAGGGGATCTTCCTGGTATTTCTATTTTTCTAAAGGCAGACACAGCAGTCTTGTGGCCTGGCCTTTGGGAGGCAAATAACAAACCTCACCACATTCCTTCTTCAGAGTGGTGGCAACTCCATTTTTCATATACAGCCTCCTTGATCTTGTTTTCAAATTACTGAGAACAGTATTCTGTTAATTCCTCCATAAGGAATTTCATCTCTTTGAATGACTGGAAATAACAGGCAATAGTGACATGTCAGAGGATTTCCCTATCTTTGTCTGCTTTCAGGAAAATATGTTACTCCCACACTTGACCTTTTTGTTTTTGACACCTTTGCATCTTCCTCTTTTAAGCTAATATCATAGATAAAGGATTATGCAATTTTGTTTATTTTTTTACTAAATCTGCCATGAATTTCATCTTGAAAGATCCATTAGATAGTTGTTTTTATCAGCAGCATTACTGAGCTCCTTTTAGGAGGAGAAAGTAAAACAAAAAAAGATCAGTTCCTGGAAGCCAGTTAGAGAGCTAAAGCATGCTTTATCCTGTCTGGTAATTACCAGGTTGCCCAGGTTTCATAATTCATAATTAAGAAAAGGGGTTTGGAAACCTGAGATGTCCAGTGTACTTGTGGCCAAAGTTTTCTGGGTGATGGAAAAGATAGTATTTGCACATACACACCAATGGAGTGATAGAGATTCTTGTATTACTCAAATCAGTGTGCATAAAAGGTAGAAAGACCACCTGCTGTATCCTTCTTGGTACTTTCTTTTGGCTGCTTGAACTTCTATTTACCTCTTCTGTAAAAATCATGTGTGCTGCCTCTGCAGAGCTTGTGACCACTGAGAAGTCACGGCCTGTAATGGTAAGACTACTGGCCCTTGTAAGTGTGAAAATTAAGAAATTAGGTAGAGAACATATCCTGTAATAATGAGTGTTGTGTTTTTGTGATTCAGTGCCTCACTTCAGCCTTGCCTCATTGTTGTTTTGTTGATGAGGTTGCCAGGAACTGGAGCTCAGCATTGTTGCAGGTCTGGGCTGGGACAGCTGCTCCTCTTTTGCTCTGCCAGCAGCTGGCTCCTGTCCCCCAGGAGCACTGTATGTGTCACCCAGAGCTGTTGTTACCTCCACTAAGGAGCTGTTTCAGGAGCTCCCCTGGCCCTGGGAGCTGCTCCCAGCAGTGCAGTCATGGGGCTGAGGGGCTGGTGCCAGGAGAGATAGGGCAGGGAAGCGTTCCCCAATTTAGCTCGGGTGTGATAGCGCGATGCTCACATGAGATGGAGGGCAAGCAGCTCCCCCATCCCTACCAATGTCAGCAGGGAATTGCATTTAGAAAGGGTGGTGGGACTTAGCAGAGTGTGTGGCTGAATATTGTGGGGTGAATTTGAAATAAAAATGTTCAAATTCACTTCCTTAAGATGCATTGATTTCTTCAGCTGCTAAAAAAAAAGTGCCTGTAGCCAGGCAGTCCTTTGGTTATCTGCCTCAGATTGCACTTGGGAACATTTTTATTGATGCACAGGCACTGGATTCAGTCCAAAACTAACTTTACTCACATCCCTCTTGTATTTCAGTGCCATCCTGTTGATATGGGAATTCTTATCGGGCACAATGTAGTGGATGCAGGACAGTGTTTCAGACCTTACTGGGTCTGCCTGGGCCTTTGTGCTCAGGGAGCCTGGGGTCTCAAAGCTGAAGGACCAAGCCTTCTGTTTGCTGGCAGGGCTTGGGTGGATGGAGGAGATGAGAAGTCACAAACTTCAGTTTTGTTTGTTTTTTTACATGCTTGCATGCTTCAATGATTGTCATGTTTTTATAAAAATTGTATCTCCCTACCACCAAAAGTCAAAACTTCAGCATTGTAAGGTACTTCCTGGCTCTTGTCACTGTTGTATTGGAATATCCAGATCATCTAGGAGTATGAAAAAAAAGGATTAACAATGCTCTGAACAATGGAAGTGTATTATTAGGTGGCCGTTTTATTGTTGTGATTCATTAATTCTCTGTTTATAGATGAGATTGTTTACATTAGTCACGTAGATTAAACTCCACTGTTTCTAATATCCATGGGAAAGTGCTTTGCAAATGTGAAGTGCTGATCTTTTTAGAAACATTATCATTAATTGGGAGTCCATCAGATTATTCAGCAGGAGATTTAATTACAAAAGGATCAAGGCTCACAAGCCACATCCTTATTTCTACCCAAACTTTAATAAATATGGAGTACATGTGAAAGAATGATCAAGGTTGTGTCTTCAGCTGCACAGAATGTCCAGAAAATCTCCCTTCAAAAGTGATGTGCACAGCTTCTGGTTTCAGCCTCTGCTGGCTCTGGGGTCTCTGTGGAATTATTGATCATTTTTGTAACCCAGTCGCATCTCCTACATCTCTGAAATCAATGTTGGTTTGGGGTTATTTTTCTAGAAAAATGACTGGAGAGCAGTATTTGGGTAAGAATGTTTTGGAAAAGCACTGGGGTGACATGCAGGGAAACGTTGGGAAATATTAATCTCGTCTACTCTTGATTGCAACCAAGGTTACAACCTTAGATCTGCCTTTAAGACGGGAATATTTTTTCATGGTGATAATGATCAGTGGGTGTGAAATGGAAAAGATTAGCAGCTGGAGAAGCATGATGTATTGCTGTAAACTTTTTTCCTTTTTCCTTTTAGATTAAAAGGAACAAACTTGTTTTAAATCACAGCACTCCTCCTCTGCACGGTTTGTCTAAGGTGTGCCCACGTTATTTGGAGTGACAAACCCAAATGTGTCATAACTGGTGATTGCATGAGAGGGCAAACACTTAATTGATAAAAATGCTGCCATTGGCTTTGGTCTTTAATCAGGTCTGTGGATGGAGTCTCTTGTCTAAACTGCCACTTAGGAGCTGTGTAACCTGCAGAGTTTCTCAAGGAGACTTTTTGATAGAGATGAGAGCTCCCACTTCCAAGGTAAAATGTCATGCAGCTTAATGAAGTATGAACTTCAAAAGCTTCAGAAAGAATGCATTGACCCTCTCTTAATATAACCTGGGGTTTGGGTACAGTAGGTCCTCTTCTGTTAATGAATGAACAACTCCTGTAAATTTCCCAGTTTGTCCTGCTTTAATCTAAAACTGAAAAAAAGGATAATGCTTGTAAGATTTCTCCCCCACTTACATATTCATATAGAATGAGGCCCTGCTGAAGTGCACTGTGTATTCCTGAGGAAAGCAATTGTTCTAACCTCTGATGTTCATGTTTTACCTTCCCCCACACCTTCTGAGTTAATATTAAAGAACTGAAGATAAAAGTTCACAATGCAGTGTTTTGAGGCTTTTGTCTG